AAACCCCAAACCCTAAACTCTAAGCTCTAAGCTCTAAACCCTAAACCCTTGACCGCCGAAGCCCACGGGCCTGCCAGGATGACAGCTCTAAAATCCCTGACCCCCGACGACCCTACCCATAGGCCCCAGAGTAGTTCCTCTTTGGAGTTCATAATTGGAAGGATTCTATAAGATTTAGGGTTAGGGTTTAGGGTTTAGGGTTTAGGGTTTAGGGTTTAGGGTTTAGGGTTTAGGGTTTAGGGTTTAGGGTTTCAGAGCTAGAAACGCAAACCTTAACTAAACCCTCGAACTCCAAACTCCTAAACTTCATCAAACCCGTAGTCTGAACCCTAGAACCCAATGCTCCTAAACTCGAACACCTCAGCTTTTCAACCCGTAAACCTCAACCTTAAATTCTAGACTCCCAACCCCTAACCTCTAAATCCGTGAACAACCTAGAACCCTAAACCCTGCACCTCAAGAACGAAATGACATTAAAAAAATCGTGGCCTCATGCACTTGCACGTATGGTATGAAGCCCCACAAAGGATTGTATGCCCCAGAGCCTCAGACCTTTTTCGCGTACGTTTCGACCCCAGGCCCTAAAGGCTCAACCCTGTAAACCCCACATAAAAACCATTAACAACGTTTAAAACGAACCCGAAAATCCCTTAACCCCAACCCCTAAACGTAAATCCTACACCCTGGCCCCATTTAAAAGAATCACAAGCTCAGTCCTGGCCTCTTTCGGGCTTGGCTCTTTCGGATCTGTGGGCAAAAGCTGGGGCTTGAAGTGTTAAGCTTCTGTACGGTTTAGGGTATTAGGGTTCAGGGTTTAGGATATTGGGGTTTAGAGGGTTAAGGGGTTTGGAGGGTGGAGGTTTTCGGCTTTCGGGTTCAGGCCAAAAAGGTCTTGAGGTTTCGAGCCAGGGGCTTCATTTGATAAGAACACATGCTTATCCACGATGTTTATGCTATAAAACGAGCCATACAGAATAGCATTATTCTATTTTAACTACTGCCCTCACGTTGGATGCAGCCTGCAATGTGATGACTGTGAATCAGCAGATGCGAAGCGGTGTGAACTGGACATGCAGGTCGTCAGCACTGAGTCCAGGAAGGAGTCCAGGACTGTCCAGAGGTTTTGGGTTTAGGACGGTTAAGGTTTAGGGTTTAGGGTTTATAGGGTTTAGGGTTCAGGGGTTTAGGGTTTAGGGTTTAGGGACTCTGACAATTATGCCAATGTTCCTGGCAAGCATCTGCTGCTCCTGATGGCACGTAAAAGAAGAGGCGAACCAATGGCACGGGCGCATCTTCGTGCAATGTAAATGTGCCACACGGCTGGAACAGCAAGACCCTTCAGACGTCGCCCTAAGGCGGCCGCAGAAACCACGATCCCCACAGGCGCCATGTCCCCTGGAGGGGCAGGCACGAATGTGATCTACCTCTGATGTCAACTGCGGCGGTGTGCACTATCCTCTCCGCGCTCCCGACAACTTGAACTGTCCAGCCTTCTTCGCCATCTCCATTCTTACGATTATGACCATGACCGTTGTGGTTGTGATGTTTGTAAATACTGTTACGTTGTTACTGTATACTATAGTAGTATAAACCTTTAACAACAAAACGCTCACTTGTAGCGCAGGGTGGCCGTTTCTCTACCACACTGGGGCGGCTGATGCTCATGATGCTCGGGAAGCGGTTGGCCATACCTGCAAGCAGCTGCAATACAGGAGCGGCTGATGCTCAGGATGCTCGGTGCAATTATATTATAATTGGCTATACCTGCAAACATCTGCAACACTGGGGCGGCTGACGCTCATTATGCTTGTTCAGTGATCGGCCATACCTGCAGGCACTTGCCACACTGAGGCGGCTGATGCTCATGATGCTGGGTGCGCCGTCGGACATAGTCACACAAGCATATGCAACACTGGAACGGCCGATACTCGTGATGCTCGGGGCGCGCTTGGTCATGCACGCACGCCGCTGCAACACTGGGGCGGCTGATGCTCCTGATGCTGGGGGCACAGTTGGACATACCTGCAGGCAAGTGCAACACAGGAGCAGATGATGCTGATGATGCTCGGTCGCGATTGTCGATGCCCTCAAGCAGCTGCAACACTGGGGCGGCTGATGCTTATGATGCTCAGCGCACGGTTGGCCAGGCAGCTGCAACACTGGGGTGGCTGATGTTCATGATGCTCGGTGAGCGGCTGGCCAGACCCGTAAGAAGCTGCAACACTGGAGCGGCTGATGCGCATGATGCTCGGTGAGCCGTTGGCTATACCTGCAGGCAGCTGCAACACTGAAGCGGCTGATGCTCATGATGCTCGGTGAGCGGCTGGCCAAACCCGTAAGAAGCTGCAACACTGGAGCGGCTGATGCTCATGATGCTCGGTGAGCCGTTGGCTGTACCTGCAGGCAGCTGCAACGCTGAGGCAGCTGATGCTCATGATGCTCTGTGTGCGGTTCGTTATACCGGCAGCACTGGGGCGGCCCGCACTTGGCCACAGCAGCAACTGCCGCGAAAATGCTCGGCTGGCTGGCTGTTTTTGAAAGCTGCAATGGCACGGCATAGGTTTCATGGTTTTAAGTTTTGTGGTTTTGAGGTTTTTGGTTTAGAGCTTCTTGTCTCCGGGCTTTAGGCTATCCGGCTCTAGCTTTGTCCAGAAGGTGATACCTTGTTTCACCATCTTTGAAGGTTCCTACTTTTCTATGCCCTAAACCCTAAACCCCTAAGCAGATTCTCACCACACAACGGTAGGGTTTAGGGTTTAGGGTTTAGGGTTTAGGGTTTAGGGTTTAGGGTTTAGCTCTAACCAAGGTAGGGTTTTGGCTTTCGGCTTGAGGCTTCCGGGTTTTAGCACTTCGGGTTTGGGGCAACTAAAGGGCCCAGGAATGATTAAACTTAGAGCGTAAACCCTAAACTCTAAACCCTGGGCTTGTAGGGTTTTTGCGTTTAGGAGTTAGGGGTTGCTTTCAAATTTGGGATTGAATGATTATATTTAAGGTTTAGGGTTTAGGGATGAGGGTTAACACTTTAAACTTGACTTTGCATCTACATGCTACCACCAATCTTAAAGCGCTAAATGCTCTGGGTATGCTGATGTTGGATATGGGGGTCTTCAACCTTCGGTTGCGAGCAGGCTACAATGCCCCCCAACACTGCTTGAGAGAAACACACACCCTATCATAGGAGGGAGCGCCCCAAACCCAAAGCCCTAAACCGTAACGAAGCGTCCAGCATTAACCCCTAATCCGACAACCTAAACCCTAAACCCTAAACCGTTATGTAAACCCACGGGGGAAAATAATAATTCTGAAGGGTCCACTTGACAAGGGCTCTCGGGATTGCGGTTGAGGGTTGATCCCATGCAGCAGCTTTTTGACTATCAGGTGTAAGGCTTAGGGTTTTAGGGTTTAGGATTTAGGGTTTAGGGGTAAAGTGTGCTCCCTTCTGGGGCCTCACAAGATCAGAAGATGGCAGCACTCTCGGTTATCAAACCCTGAAAGAAGGATAGGTTATTCACTTGGAGAACATGCACGAGAAGCCTCGGGCACAACAACTGAAGAATAGCTGAATCCAGCCCAGGCAAGAAACACATCTACATATTACCTACCCTAAACCCTAAAAACCCTAAACCCATCCCGGATGCTTCAAGCAAAGCAACACCTCTTGGCTTCGAAGACAGAACACTGGCTGTCACTAGCTGAGCTCCAAATCCTATACCGGGATTCTAACTTAAGCATGGAAAAAGAAACACCAAACTCCGAACCCTCAACAGCCTTGAAACACCTTCTTGTCAGAATACATAAGATCCTGCAAAGAGTACTGGCAAACCACGGTTAGCCCTAAACGCTAAACCCTAAACCCATCTAGCGCCAAACCCTGAAAGCCCGAAAACTTCAAACTTACCCAAAACCCTAAGCGGATGCCTTTTGCTTTCGGCGAGGACTCCGTGTCATCATCCACAGGCGGAAGTGGCGGAAGTTGTTCTAAAGCCTCGACCTCACAGACGCTTAGCGTTCAAGGTTAGGGTTTAGGGTTTAGGCTTTAGGGTTTGGGTTGAGGGTTTAAGTTTTGGGGTTTTGGGTTCAGGGTTTGGGGTTCTAGTAAGAGTGGGCGACTGCTGGATTCTTGCTGCGCGGGATTAGAGTTCGTATTTGAGTTTCGGGATTCCGGGCTCTTGAGTTTAGAGCTTGGGGCTTTTAGGCTGTTACGGTTTAAGGTTTGGGCTTTGGGTTTGTCAGCAACATAGCAATTAAAAGAGTGCTCTGCGCATTTCGATAATGAAGTCTCGAAACCCTGCTAAAAGTTTTTGTGACGGGCTCAGCGTTTAGGTTTAGGGTTGTTGTTCGAGGGTTTTGGGATCAACCACATCGTTTCAGGACCTTCGTTGAACAGCTAGGATGATCGGGTTTGTTAACCCGAAACCCGAAACTCTAAACCCTGTAGATCGGAAAATCTAACGCTTAAACGGTACGGCGCAAGTTCTGGTGGCTCTGAGCGCTTGCAAGCCCTGGCAAGCTCTCTAAACCCCGTGCGTCAGGCTCATTTGGTAGGTTCCATAGACGGTTTAGGGTTTAGAGTTTAGGGGTTTAAGGTTTATGGTTTAGAAGCTTGAAGAATTACCGCGAGGATTCCTTCGGATGGCATAGTACAAGTACTACAATGGACACCAAAACTCTATCCTAAACCCTAAACCCTAAACCTGAGTCCGCCATATCATGAGGGTTTCGGGGTGCTGGAGGCTCCTGTACGTGTCGAGGTTCGGGGTTTAGGGTTTAAACCCTAAACCCTAAACCCTAAACCCTAAAACCTTTAGGGTTTAGGGGTTGTGGGAATTGCGCCGCCCGCTTTCGTCCAGGGGGAGCCTGAACCGTTTAGGGTTTAGGGTTTAGGGTTTAGGGTTTAGGGTTCTTCATATACAAACACCCAAAATCTGAGGCCTACCCATTGAAAGCATGAAATCTCAACACTCCCAAGTGGTGTAGCTCAGAATTGGGTTTTGGCGTATATTTAAACATAACTCTAGTTGTTATTCAAGCTCCTACATCATAACGAACGCTGAAAATCCCTGTATATAGCAGAAGACCGAGCTTATGCCAAGCAACGATGCTTTCACGCACGAGGGTGTCGCTTGCCATTTCGTACTGCACAGCATCGTCCAGTGCCAGCTGAACCTAGGATGGAGTGGTTTCAGTGCCTGCGAGTGAGTTGAGTCTAGGGTATAGGGCCAAGGAATGTCAAAGATAACCCTAAACCCTAAACCCTAAACCCTAAACCAACCGGGGCCTTTATTAACCCTTAGAATAGGGTTTTTGGTGGTTTAGGGTTTCCTGCTACATCTTTATTCGCATGATGGCTGCCATGTTAAGCTTTTGTATGCCAGATCCTGTGATGCCCATAGAACCATATGGGTGGTTGTCAAAATTATGGTGCCTTTTGGGGTACCCTAAATAATAGGTGACGTATTATAATAAGGACCCAAAAAGGGACCATAATTTTGACAACCACCCATATAGCAAACACAGGGAGGGAATCCTGAGCTAAAAAAACCCTAGCCCGGAATTCCCAAATCCGGAACCCAAAGCCATAAACCCTCTAAACCTTAAATTTCGGCATCTTCGCTTACAGGAGGCATGCCCACTCTTGTGTCTCTTAACCGTCTTAACCCTTACGTTAGAGTCTAATTAGGGTTTAAGGTTTAGGGCAGGATACTGCTACCCCTAGCTCGGCTGCACATCTTACACAATCTGCAGCTATCAGCACTTTGGGCCCCGAGAATCTACAAAAACTTTCTAAGCCCGTGCGTCTGGGTTTAGGGTTTAGGGTTTAGGGCTGCCAAAACAAGAAGTACAATGTAGAGCCCGGTGCCGAAACACAGCAAATATCATCCCTAAACCCTAAACCATGCAATGGCCTCATAGTAGTTAAAGTACGTCTTTTCGGTGTAACTGAACCCTAAACCCTAAACCCCAAACCCTGTAGTATCCTTCCTTAGGGGCTGGAAGGGAGTAAGACAGGAGCCTTAATAATTAGAATAGGGTTTTGGGGGCTCCTTTAAAGGGATCTATAAGGGCTACTATAAGGGTTTAGGGTTTAGGGGCCTTAAAAATTAGAATAGGGTTTTGGGGTACATTATACTATAATTATAATAGGGAACCTCCAAAATAGTAGTGGCAGTGATTTAGGCCTAGTACTACTGATTATTCAGACCAATGGACTCAACTCTGAACCCAACAATGAACCCCAGACCCTAAAGGCCCTAAAGCTTGCGGTTTAGGGTTTAGGGTTTTTAGGGTTTAGGGTTTTGGGTTTATAGGGTTTAGGGTTTAGTGCTTAGGTTCACAGGACTGTTCATGAGATGCAACCGCACTTGTTCCAGGATTTAGGGCTAGGGAATTTTGCCAAGGAGATGTAATAGTAAGTGCACAAAGACGTAGACAAGGCCCCTACAGACGGAGACGCGGATAGTGATATAAACAACCGAAAACCTGGTTTTTGCCCATTTCATTCTTGAAGTGAACCTACAACTTGCAAAGCCAGTGATATTGAGTTCGCGGATGATCATGTCATGTTATGCCGGGTTCTGGCCCGTTGTTTGTCCAGACTGCTTGCGTCTGGGGCGACCGTGGGAGCCAAAGATAGCTGCATTGACACAGAACTTACACCTAGACACCAAAACCCAAAGGCTCTAAGCACTCATATTCTATGACTTTTAATGCCCAAGTGGCCTAATATATAAGGCTTTGGGTCTTTTTGAGCCTTAGGGAAAGTATGCAGAAAAAGCTTCTTATGGGCTCTATTATGTTACCCGGGTATGATACATATGTCTTCTAGAATGTAGGGGCTCTGTGGCTATTTGTTACCCATGTTCTTCCTTGAAACCACTGCCAATGGTCCTTGATTGTCACGATGAAGCATCGAACAAAGCAGGTAGTCGGGTATTAAAGTGTAGGGCGTAATGTAGGTGCCTAAATGACTACCAATACTATGTTGGGGGTTCCTTTCATTTCCTTGTTGTATTTGTAGTATAATGGTCCCCTAACCCTGCTCTAATCATCAAGGCCCCCAAACCCTAAACCCTAAACCCTATTCCAATCATGAAGGCCCCCAAACCCTGAACCCTCAACCCTATTCTAATCATGAGGGCCCCCAAACCCTGAACCCTAAGCCCTATTCTAATCATTGAGGCCCCAAACCAAAAAACCCTAAACCCATTCAGCCCCCCAGACCCTAAACCCTATAAACCCTAAACCCTATTCTAATTATTAGGGCCCCTTAAACCCTGAACCCTAAACCCTATTCTAATCATCAAGGCCAGGGCTTGGGTTGAAGGGTCTCGGGTTCAGGGTTTGAGGGTCTAGGGCTCCGAGCTTTAAACTTTAGGTCTGGGTGTGGGGCCGCAAGAAACGTTGACCCAAACACCCTAAACCCGAACCCTTACCCTCAAAGGACTCGTATTTTAAGGCTTTTGGGGCCCAAAGACCCTATTATGTAAGGCTATTTTGATTTAGGGTTTAGGGTTTAGGGTTTAAGGTTTAGGGTAACACCCTGCTCCGTGCATGGCGCGACACCAGCACGCCACAGGCGGCGGTCCGGATTGTCGGATGGTTTGGCGGCGGCCCCTGGAAATCGAGGCCATGACTACCTTAAGAAGCCAAAACCAACTTTTTTATGTAGGTTCTTATTATAAACCTTAATATATGGGATTTATAGGGACCCTACAAAAAAGTAGGTTTTGGGTTCTTAAGGTACAGCCCTAAGGCTCGAAGGACTGATATGTTCAGGCCTTTCCCAGAGGGTCCTTGTACCCAAATAGTATATACTTTGGCCCCAAAGTGCCCATATAGGGACTACTTTAAGGCCAAAGTCTATGCTATTTGGGTACATGGACCCTTAGGGTTTGGGCTTAAAAGCCAAAAAATGGCGTTGTACGGCTTTGCGCGGGTTTGTCGGCTTTTGTACCTCAGTCTGAATCCAAAACGAACCCTAAAACCTAAACCCTAAACCCCTAAACCCCTAAGGTTACTAGGGTGGCAACTGTAGAACCTGTCGGAGGCGCAGAGGTAGATACAAGCTGGAATTCGGCTTTGAAACCATGCCTCCTAGTATGGCCCTTAACCCTGGGATCCTTATATACTTACTATGTACCCTATATGGTAAGGGTCCCTAGAAAGGCCTAAGGGTCCATATCAGGGGCCCATACTTCTGACCTTAGATTGAAGTAGGACAACAGCTTCGGGATGTAACCCTTGGTGGCTTTAGCACCCTAGACAGAGTACCATTATCATACGCTTATTCATACTATACCCTAAACCCTAAACCCTAGTGCTATAGCAACCCTGGGGGTGATCTAGATTTCAAAACCTTAAGTTAACAGTCCTAAACCCACCGGCATGCTGCCCGCATCGCATTCATCGAGGTCCGGGGTGGATATGAGAAGGAGCAGCCCTTTAGGGTTTTAGGGGGGGGGGGGG